GAATCGGCACAAGTCTAATAGGTTTAGGACTTTTTTGGTAATTGTCTCCCACTTATTCTATTCGGACTTTACTTTAATTGAATTGAATCAATGATAAAACAAATATAATATATGATTTGTTACTAAATATGGATGTCGTGGCTTAATATTGATGATGTCTGTACAATTAGTACATATATGAGGTAAATGTGTTATGTTACCATGTGAATAATGGAGTGATAAATAATGGCAAGATGTTCTTCTTAGGCTTCCTTTTGTTACCTTTTTTTTCCTCCCACCGGTTATTCTAATAAAACTAAGTAGGATTTGTTGGACAACTTTTCAGCATCTAATATCATTAAGTGAGTTAATATTTCCAATAAATACACACAACTTAATCAATTCGTTTAGGTCAAAAATCACACTGTTCATAAGTAAGAATGACTTAATTGATTAAGTGTAAAACATAAAATGGAAAGCATAATCTTAATAACTGCGTTGTCAAAACCTTCAAATAGTGCTCACTATTCCATGTTTCATATGAGAAGAACGATAAAACTTATTATTCAATTCATATGTTATCCAATTAACTTTTTATTTTCATTTTCAATACTCAAAGATTTCACCACTTATTTTTCAGTTTTATCAAACATGCCAAGTTATATATGATCTATCCATCGTCCAACCACACCAATCATATAAGCCAACTATGTTGGTCACTTGGACCATTAAAACACCTACTCTTATGGTAGTAAGACGAATTAACGGTCACCAAATTACCTGAAATCATAATTATGTATAGTAGTAACCGGCCTGCCCTCCCACCGACAATGGGGTGGCGACCACAGGCGGGAGGCTAGGCCAGCCCTCCCGCCTGGTTTTTATTTTTTAAAATTTAGCTTGATTTTTCTTTTTTATGGAAAGAAAATAAAAAATCAAACGAGAAAAACGCCCTTAACCAACTGGTGAAGTCAAGCTCTTTTTTTAGACTGACATAGCCATTTCAAATCCTTAATTAAGACAATGTCGACCATTTCAAGTCCTTATTTGACAAAATAAGGGTAATTCAGGCCTTTAATTAAAACAAATTCCATTTCATATCATTATTTGAGAAAATGAAGATACTTCAGGTTCTTATTTGAAATTTTCCTCTAAGAAAAGAGTCTCGTAGGTTAGGTAGAAGCAAATAAACTGTGGAATTTCACGTATAGCGATGTTCTAGTGTGACATAAAAGAGAGTGAAAACGAGTGCTCACGCCCGTTAGAAAATCTGTTTTATTCTAACCTTAGTCGGTTTTTCGATTTCAAGGACCAGGACCCAAGTCGCCCAAGAGAAGGAATGTGTAGGGTTTGGGCTGTGATGCAACCATTTCAATTTACAATACCATCGCTTAATTGTTGTTTTGAAATACTATTCCCCAAGGGGAAGGTACTTGATAACTAGTTTCCATGGAAGGTTGCGAGTTTGGTAGGAGATTCCATCTCTGTCTCCACCGCCACTCTTTTGGCTCATTTGAAGTATATGTTGTATCTATTCGACCGAAAAAAAAAAGCGTATATGTTGTATCTGTGCAGAATCTTCGAATTTTACAGACAACCATCAAATGACATGTGAAGGAGCCAAAGAAGAAAGTACAATGATTGTGAGCCTCATCCACGTCATTATTTATCGACACCGCCCGGTTGTTATCAAGTCCATCGATAGAGCCAAATTTGCAGAGAGCAATGGAGCATATTCCACCTTGCATTGTCTTGAACCTCCACAACCAAACTTGCTTTTGCTGATGGATTATTTTAGTTTGTCCCTGGACTCTTCTTGTTGAGAATAATGGAAGATGGTTTTGGTGTAAGGGTGTCCTGCTTCGGTGAATATAAATTTCGTTTTCCGAAGATGTGAGGATAAATTTTAGGGTTTACTTTATTATACGCAGATGATATTCACGTAAATTGTTCTCGATAAATGCCATGAGCACTTCCATAAAAGCCAGATTAAGCAATAAAGTACCCCATATTTTTCCCTCCGCCTCGAGCTGCCTTGCAAGTTGCAATACCTTCTATAGCTCGGCCCGCAACAGTACCTTGACCAACTCCAGGTCCAATAGGAGCAAGCCCGACAGCTAACCCAGCCGCAATAACAGAAGCAGCAGAAATAAGTGAATTCCATTTGAGTTTTAGATTGTCGTATCTAGGTTCGAAATTTGCTTTCGAAAATATGACAATCCATTCACAGTCGGACTGATCAACATAAAGGAAAAGAAAAGATAAAGAACGTGACTAGGAGATACTAACATTTCATTCACGGTCGGACTGATCAACGTAAAGGAAAAGAAAAGATAAAGAACGTGACTATGAGATACTAACATGAACAAAGAACGAAAAGACGATTATTCGACGAAGAAAGTTCCCAACTCCAGTTTAAGAAGGACAAAGCAAAAGTTGATCCTTTTTACCTTCGAGATGATAGGAACTCAAAGAAATTTTTCTTTTTTTGCGAGTTTTTTTTTACTTACAATAATGGATGGAGAACTTATTGGGCCAGGCCTTTAGTTGAGGGCATACCCTTAGATCATTGGATCGAGCCTAGATTTCGTACGACGAAAATTGATGCACTGAGCACAAAAATGGACTGCTGATAAGCCATAATGGGCCATTTCAGTGATTTGCAATTGCAACAGAAACCCATTTCTGACTATCCCAACAAAAAATCATGAACAAATCTTATCAATATCATAGAATTATCCTTTGTGGCTTTTTTTAAGAATTCCACAAGGGACACGAATGAATTCAAGATAAATATCCCAATTCATCTCCTATCGACTCATCTCAACTGTTAAAATGAGTACCGTTACATTCTGATTAAGTCGTCTCGGATTCGCAATCACGCTAAGCCTAATAGAATCAATTACAAAACTTGAACGAACAAAAAGGACCATTCAAAGCGTGACCACGGGCTAGAAACATGTACTCTATAGATCGAGTTGACATGTAAGTTCCAGCGGGCGCATTATAAGTACGATAAAAGGATTATAATTCATTCTGGTCATATAAAATCAAGTACCTCTGTTAAGCTCACAAACCCTTCTAGCTACACATGTTATCAACCTGCAGCTCAACTCAATTTGGTGTTCCAGTTATTCAAACTCAAAGAGGAAACCAGAAAGTTTAAATCGAAATTCTATCTGTTCTGCAACTCTATCGCTTAAAGCATCTACTGTGGATTTCAGATATGACGCAATCCCATCAAACCAGCAGAGAAGAAACATGAGAATGTCCCCATCAGAACACGATTTTCATGCACACGGTTCTTGGGCAGGACATGAAACGAGTGGTTCAAAAGCGCATTGGATGACACGCTTTGAGCTGTTCCTCTTTTGGACTTTCTGTATTTTTTTTTGCAAGAGATGGCCACGCTTGATGTGTTCTGATTCGATTCGAGGACTCACAAGCGAAACGAGAGGATAACACCGTTTGACTTTGACCGCCGCCGAATGCCCCACTTGGCACTGCTGAGAAACTTGGTGCCAATCGTCCCAGGTAAGCCGTCGCCTCGTTTCTTGAAAAAGTCAAAGCAGTGTTTTCTTTCCAACCTGTTGATCTTGTACACTAAAAAGCAACCCCCAAGAAACCCGACATGCACGCAACCACTCAACTCTTCCTGTATATATTTATGAACCAGACGCACCACAAGAAGGTAATTGGAAATCAAAGCCATACCGGTCAAACCCAACCTTCCTCTTCCTCTTCCTCTTCCTCTTCTTCCTCCTGTTGTGTCCTAAGCCTGAAATTAGCGAGAAAGGGATGATTCTTGTGTTGGCAAGATTCAGCAAATTCCGTTCCAAGATGGAAGATCACTTTTTCCACCACAACCAGCCAGACCACCTTCAGTCCCAACTCTTTTCCTCGCTCTTGGAATCGTTTGAGTCCGATGTTTCGAGCCGATTCAAGAGCCTGTTCTTGAATCCGAGACCCGTGTCAGAGTACATCTCCTTCTCTTGGATTCACCGATGCTTTGAGCTCTTGCCCTATATGAACAGGGCCTTTTCGAAGCTGGTGGTGGAATTGGACCACCCCATGAGCAAGTGGGAAGCTGACGCTGCGGAAGCTTATCTGAGTTACAGCTTGAATTTGCTGGAGCACATGAATCTGATCAGCTCAAGTATTTCTCATCTGGGCCAAACCAGGGTCTGTCTCTCACATGCTTTGAGCTTGGCTGATGCTTCACCATCTAATGCCCTAGAGCGTTTGAAGGCCCTTCAGCCAGAAGAAGCTTTTACCAAGGATCTCAAAGTGGAAGAAACAAAGGAAGATGGTGACCAAGAAAGGGCTTGTTCTGGGAAGGACCTGTTAGTTCACAAAGCTTTGATTTTTATGAAGGGTATTGAATTTTGGGTTTGTGGGATTTTGCTTTCTGCTTTGACTGGAGATCCAAAACCATACATGGGAATGAGAACAGGGGCCACCAAGCTTCTCAACTCTTCCTTGGTCAGTTTGGAATCAGGATTTTATGAAGAATTGTTGGAGAAAGGGAGTGTTTTGAAAGAGGTTCGAGATATCAAGGGTTCAGTGGCTTGCCTTGTTGCTGCAATGGAAGATGGGAAAAGCAGTAATGAAGTTGGGGAATTGAAGATGAGATTGGAAGGATTAGAGAAGATGTTGGATGGATTGAGCAAGGAGGTGGATGGTCTCTTCTCTGAGATGTTGGCAAGCAGAAATCAAGTGATTGATTGCTCAAGACCAGGAACGCATTAGGGGGGGGGCCAAAAAGGGCATACTGCAATACTTTAGTGTTCATTAGATCTCAGTTGTACATACATTTGTTTGTAAATTCCGATTGAATTGTTCTCAAGTGTATCTTCTTCATCAGAACGAAGCACGATTTATTTATTTATTTATTTAATTATCGACTCTTTTGCTCCAGAGGTAGTAAAGTTTCGTTTGATCGTTTCCACTTGCCAAAACACTATCATCAGATTTCAGGCACAACTAATGATAGAAAAGGATCTCAAGCCAATCGAGGAAAATTTGGCTAATAAAGAACTTTAAATTTAGGCCCCAACAAAAGCCTACAATCTGCGATTCCCAAAGCCACCTCTCGAAAACAGATTGGCAAACGCCTAGCCTTCTGAACATCCTGAGGAGAAATTGTCCCTCTCCCTTCTATAAATGAGGGAGGAATAAAGCTGAGATCTTGATTTTTTTCTTAGTTTCTAAAACGATGCATCAATCTCATTAACTGTTTTGACATCCGTCTAGGAAACCATAGCTCCTACTGTAATGAAGGACAACAATACGAAAAGCAAATCAGGGCAGGCCCTTTTGACACCCTTTGCTGCTGTAGTTCTCTTTGTCGGACACGCTCCTTTTGTGGTATACATCAAATGGCAGCCTGAACAATCAAAGAAAATGAGCTTTGTCTCAATAGAAATCAGCATCCAGATGTAGCCACAACTACAAGCGAATTAAACTATCAAGCACCTAAAAAAAGTGTCAACTCATGTCAATATTCGGATTAAAAACACGGTCTTGTGCCATAGGGATTTCTCTCAGTATTTTGGGTCTCGGGGAGGTCAGGTTGTGTCTCATGTTGCCAACCCTGCTCAGGATTCCATACAGAACAATTTATTCAGTAAATTCCCTTAGCGGTTTACCAAATTTTTGTCAACTGCAGAACTGAAACTGAAACTATACAAAAAAATCATTTAATTTTGTGCTTCGGGGTGGTCAGGTTGTGTCTCATGTTGCCAACCCTGCTCATGATTCCATACTGAACATTTTATTCAGGGGTTTACCATGTTTTTTGTCAACTCAGAACTGAAACTGAAACTATACAAAATTAATCAATTTAGGCTTATTCAATCAAGGATAGAGTGATTCCGTACCCTAGATACAACGTTGTGTCAGAATCTCCATTTTCAGCTGTGCGATTGCAGGCCTTATCAGGACTGCCAGAGCCAGAGTTGTTGAGGGCTTTCCTCCTTTTCTCTGGATGATATTCAAGATGACGGGTAGCTGGAAGGAAACCTCTAAGCTCGTCAACCTGCAACGTGTGTGCGGGAAATCCAAAAGAGAAATCTCAATTCTCAATTGCAACAGGTTATATGAGGATTATGGGGACGAAAAAGACGGGAAGAGCATATTTGCCTGTCTGCGCAGAGTTTCATTCTCCAGCATAGCCCTCTGCTCCTGAAAAAAAAAAAAAGATCGAGCTAGTTATTAGCAGGTAAGAACTACATGGCCAGCAGCAGATAAGCTTAAAACTTTGTGGTAATGAGCCAACAAAAAGGTGTGCTACATGCAACGATACTAATTAGAAACTCAAACCCCAAGGATGAAGAAAAGTACGTGAATCAACAATAGACTCTGGTCATAAAGCACTGTATCAGATTGCTCGAAAGGGGGAAAAAGTTTGTAGCGTTTCTGTGCTTCTAGTTTGAATCAAGTATAACTTTCAATTTTTTATCTCTATACCATGATAAGTACCAAGTCGCAACTTTTGGGATTTTCATTCTGAATTAGCCATGGTCTTTCAAAAAATTATATCAAATCTGGCATACCTGTAATCTTGATCGCTCCAGCTGCTCCAGAAGCCATTGCTCCTGAAATATTACAAATTACATTAGGCAACCTAAGAAAAGGCAATCCAGAACCCATTTCAGTTTAAAATTTGCTTCTCCTAATGAGCTTCAATGTAAGGAAACGAAAAGGACGAGAAGATTGATTCTATGAAACCTTTTTCTCCTTGACGGATGATAAAGCCCCACTCAATTGCTGTTCCAGGTGCTGCAATTCCTTTATGCTCAGGCCATTCAAGTCCTTGCCCAGTAGCCTTCTATCAATTACAAGAAATGAACAGTAAATTGTTGACTAAAGAAAGGAACAGACAAGAAACAACGGAGGAAAAAAAACACTCACAATTGTCTCATCTGCAGCTCTGCGATTTCATCTTTAAGGGTGTCTACCACCTTATCATCTTCTTTCTTCAGGCAAAACAATGTTAAGTCAGAGAAGTAGAATTAAATATATAAGTACAGTCTAAATGGGAGGGATGCTAGAGGAAATCTCTCTTGTAGTTTAATATGTGACCACCACATTAATGTAAGCAAAAGGCACTTATTTAAAAAAAAAAAAAATCTGGCAACTATTTCCGAAGATAATGCATTTGATGGATCCTGTTTGGCTTTAAAACAATGAAAAAGACCAGATAAGTGAACAGTGATGAGAAGGATACCGTAGACTCTGGCTTGTATTCTATAACAGTGGACTCTGGAGAATCTTGACACCTGTTGTATCTTGATAGTATCTGTTTCATTCTGCAACACAAGATGCAAGTGGAAAAATCATGAAGAACACGGACTCTTCCACTGGCTAACTACTTAAATCACAGGATATTTTGATTACATAAATTTGCTCAGAGTACATCAATAAGTAAATGATCCAACCTCTGAGTGAGAAATCAATCTGCCTATTGGCATTGGATGAGTTGACAGTGAGCTATAAATTAGCTTCAGGTAACAAAGAGACTCATATAATAATCAATTATTGCATGCTCACTGAATCACATTGCTTCGATGTTCATTTGGGTTCAATAAAGTCATACACACTGCAAAGATCTCCAGAGTGACTTTAGAACAGAACATTATTTATTTTGTACCAAGGCTTCCATTTTCTATATCTATTTTCTGCAAAAGTGCGTTAATGTTAAGTCTTAACTTCAAAACATGAGAAACCCTCTCTCCGGCAAACCATATCAGCATAGGTCCTCGGGTTGATAAAACTATCAAGGTGTGCGAGCCAACCCCTCCCTCCACACTTGGTGAGATATGGGAAGGCACAAAGTTGAGGAGTTAAACCTTGCACTTCTCGATTGTCAGGTCAGTCCCTCACCACTAAGCCGTTACAGAAATTTCAGTTTTCGGATTCCTCTTGGATTTTCGCAATTAATTTGCAATGCCACGAGAAAGACCAAGCTTAAGTCAGTTCCAAAAAAGCAAGAAACAAAATGGGCGACACCTTCGAGGTAAGGAAAGTGATTAAATAATGAAATTTGAGAATAAATACCTATAATGCCGACAAAAGGTAATTATAACCACCATCAACAGCTATTACAACTCTCGAATTGTTCTATATTGAAACAGGGTATGCACAACATGAAACAAGACTCTCGATAAACTTGAGAATACAAGTGCCTACCAAATCTGCGTTGGCGAGGAATCGAATGATAAAATACAGCATCAATTGCAAAGATCCATTTAGCATGGGAAGAACAACTGCAAAGTCCTAGAAAAAAGTATCCCGGTGTGCCAAAAAGCGAACATGAGTACCAAATTCTACCACAGCCTTCAAGCATTCTAACATCAAATGGCCAAAAGGGACACAGCAACACTATTGAGCAAAAGACCAATACCACTAATTTCTAGAAATCATAACAAAATCTTCCTGGAACTTGTATGACACAAGAGTCCCTGGAAATACAGATGACTATTCAGGGGAACATGATCTAAAATTTATACAAAACAATCTCTCAAATTTCCACAACCCTCCCTCATATTTAAAAGGAAATAGAGCTCACAGAAAACTACTGCTGTAAAGTTTCTAAATTTTAGCGCTAGATTTGGAAAAAATGAGAACCTGCAGCACTTCGGACACCTAAGGACATGTGCAACAACCAAAACCCCATTTATCTAGTCAAATGAAATGAAAAAGCTTTTTGACTAACAGAGCTAAGTGAAGACATGAATTAACACATGCAAATATTCAGAAAAAGAAGATCACTATCTGCTTCAAGCAAAAGCACACAAGCAGCATATCGTCAGACGACCGTTCGAGGTTCCAAAGCCGGAAAAAAAAAACACAAAAGAGCAAAATGGAAGTCCGTACAAAGGGTAAGGCAAAACAGATCAAAACATGCAACTCAATCGATTTGGAGAAAAAGAAAAGATCGAAACTTTACAACACATACCCAGAACTGGAGAACTCATAGAGCTTGCCAGTATTCGAGAAGATTATGACAGCAACTTCAGCATCACAGAGGATGGAGAGCTCCTGAGCCTTCTTGAGCAACCCAGAACGTCTTTTGGAGAATGTAACTTGCCTGCTGTTTGCATTCTCGATCCTCTTTATCTCAATCTTCCCCCTCCCCATTTTTCCTCCTCAGACAGAAGAAAGAAAGAACCCAATTGATCAAAATCAAAACCCAGAAGACAAACCCCCTCCCACCAGGAAAAAAAAAATATAGAACTGCTGATCCCAAACAAAAATCTCCCTTCTGGGCTGTTTAAAAAAGCAACCCTTTTTCCGTTCCTTCAAAACCAAAAAAAGAAAAAGAACTGGGTTTTAATGTCTGGGTTCTTGTGCTATAGATGGCAAAGGAGGAAGTACTAAATTCAGAGGAGGAGGAGAAAATAAAAGGGCGTGATGAGAGAAAGAGAGAGAAAGAGCGTTTTGCACCAAATGGCAACATTGCCTAGAAACGGCAAGTTTGCATGGCCCTGTAGACTAAGATAGAGTTGTGCATGCTTCTCTCTTTTGCCACTTTTGAGTGTTTTGCTTTTAATAGGTCTCTCCTGTGGGCCCACCCCTGGTTTTCCCTGGTTTTCAATTCCTTATGCATATTGGCATTATGTGGGTCCATCTCTTTATTTCAGTATATCCCCAAATTTTCCATTTTATGGTAAATGTATTGCCATACATGGGATAGTTCATTGCCATAATCAGAGGACTTGTGTTAATTTTCTTGCTGTATTCAGAAGATGTGCGAGACCAAAAAAGAAAAGTGAGCGACAGAAGAACTTGATTTCGTGGGTAATGCGGTGGGCCACATTGGGAAATTCAATTCTTTTCCTTTTGTTGATGTGAGATTAAAATCAATTAAAGAAACTGTCTAAATTAGTCAAATATGGGGAGTTGCCAAAAGTGGCTGTGGAGTAAAAGCAGGCAAAAAGCATCACCCTTGGGTTGCAGCATGAGTTGTATGGTTTTTCCAATTTGGTCATTTGATTTTCAAAAGCTGTCAAGTTTGGGTGAGGGTAAGATGACCCTTTTCTTTATTTGTTATCTGTTGTTTCTAATTTTGGAACTTTGCATACTCTTACTGCCATATTTGGAGTGCCCATAGCCTGGACAAGGCAAATTGGAGTAAATACAAATCCTTTACTTAGAATGCTGAGGTGCCAGACTTTCCATTCAATGAATGGCAACTTCTCCTCTTCACCAACAAATTTCTTGACCCAATTAAAAACAACTGCTGCCAAATTTGGGAATTTGCAAAAATATGGATTATCTCTCCATTTCCTGCTCCTAAATTTAAAATCTCTTTCCGAGGTACATCTCATTCAATGTTTGCCCATCTGGGATTTGCTCTTGAGATGCCAGTAATTAACATTTTCTCGTAATTACTGCATTAACCTGTGGTCCTTCTTGCTAAGCCATCCCCTTTTTTTGGCATTACTTGGTCAATAAGAAATTTTCGAGTTGATATATATTAGTCAGTATAGGTAGTTTTTCAGATTGGTTTACCAAGAGTTTCGGGAAGAAAATCTTTCCAATCCTTTCCTGCTTCTCAAAATCTGTTCTTACTTCCAATTTAAGTGGTTGATGCAGATGATTCATCGAGCAATAATTTATTTTGGCATAGATCACACGGGATTCTTGATCTAACCAACTAATATAGTCAGTGTTGGATGAGATCCTTGTAAAAATCAATTTAACCGTGAGATTTCCAAATCAAGGACTCTCTTTGACTTCCTTAATTTGTTTGAATTCTAATTGACGATGAGCTTCATCCATTGGATGCATCGGTGAATTGCTTGTTCATCTGACCAGCACTTTCTTTGGACGTCCATCTCTCAGCAGCCGACCATGACTTTTCTGGCCGAATTCCCTTTTGGGTCAAATAATTAGGTGATTAATTTTCATACACAAGACTAAATTTATCTCGGCGCTTTCATCGAAAATGGGTCGTTGAAGTTGAAACTAGTCGATTTGTGGAAAACTATTTACTCGCAATCTAACTCTAACAACCTACGCCTAGGAGGAAGGGAATTTATAATGGTATATTCTCAAGTATGGTTATTAAACAAGGAAAAGAGGAACACATACAGAAGACAAAAATTTAATGAACAAGAAAAATAATGAGTAATTTGAAATACTTAAAAAGACAAATTTATGTTGCTGGGAAAGGAACAAGATTTAATTTACATTTAGAATGTGAAAGAGCTTTATCACAAGAAACCGGAGTGATTGATCCTTTTGAATTATTATTTTATTTATCATTCGGTATAAAAAATACCCTTTTGAAAGAGCTTTATGAACGCTGAATTTAGTGAAGAATCAAATTCGTATCATGCACATTGTTCATACACGCATGCGTCACGGTCAAGAGGTTTTTAAGCCCAAAATACCGAGGAAATGGCCCTAGATGAAAGCCTATGAGTTGACCTAGAGAACCATGAAGTGTAGAATCTTCTTACATTTAGGATTTTCAAAGACACTCTAGAATATTCCAAGGGTATAACGGGAAATGTATACTTGTAACTAATGGGTGGTAGTAGATAAGAAGATTGAATATCTAATAAATTTAGATCAAATGGAGTTAATGATTGTAAAAAAATGCACTCATTATGAATAAGGGTGCCCTCCTCTCATTTAGATTCTACAACATTTGAATAATACAAGTATTCTTTAGAGCTTCTCGGTGATATGTAAAGAGATTAAATCTCCACCTTTAGATCAAAGGAAATCAACGATTATAAAGAGAGTAACTCATATATAAATAAAGATAACATCCCTTACATTTGGATCATCCAGCATTTGAGCAATGTAAAATATTCTTGAGAGCTTCCCTAAATACTTTCTCTCTCTAAAATTTCATTTCTTGGGTTTAGAGAAAGTGTGAGAGTATAACGAGAAATATACACTTGTAATTAATGGACAGACGTTAGTTAAGGAGATTGAATTTCCACCATTAGATCAAAGTAAAATCAACGGCTGTAATGAGAAAAACTCAATTATAAATAGGGTTGTCCTCCCTTCATTTGGATCATCTAATATTGAGCAATAAAATGCATTCGCTCGAAAAGCATCTCTTTCATTCGTAGTCTAACTACCAATACAATATTAAGTCTCACCTCCATTATGAATAAACATTATTAAAATTAAAAAAAACATGATCCAGTAGAACTTCTAGAGTCCAGAATTTGCCCCTCCCAAGGAATTCTTCCTAGATGTCAATTTCATTTCATACTCATCAAATCTATAGACTCCATGCATGTATCAATTGATTAGAACACCAACAACATACCAGAGATGCATTGACTTTGTTCTTGCAAAAACAATCGGTACAAACAAATTCGTCTAGCTATGAAATTTCTCCTAAGTTTGTCGAGAGTTAATTTCATATGTAATAGCAAAAACTCTACAGGTCACACCCAGATCTTGCAATTCATCAATTCAGAATTGCTAAACTTCACAATCATCACTAGTCTGCCTCCATTCCTAATGTCCATTCACGTGTGCATCTGCATGCGTACATTTGTGCAATCACATATGCATAGTTTTTTCTATGTTAAAAAAAATGTGAATGCATGATTGGCATGGAAAGAGACTTAGATCTAAAGAAAAAAAACGGATACAACAATCTCACCATGCAAAATTATTTATCAACATATCCCCAAATTTTCAACATATTTTCCAACAATTCCCCAAAATTTCCATTTTCTATATATAGTAAATATAATGGGATAACCCATTGCCATAATTTGAGGAGTAATTTCAAATATTCTTGCTATATTGTATTCAGAGACAAAAAAAAAAAGAGAGACCAAAGCAAAAGGAAAAAGGAGTAGAACTCAAATTTGTGCGTAATGTGAGTGGGTCACGTTGGGAAATTCAATTCTTTTCCTTTCCTTGATGTGGATTAAGTTAATTAAAGATACTGGCTAAATTAGTCAAAATATGGGGAATTGCCAAGAGTGGTTGTGGAGTAAAAGCAGGCAAAAAAGCATCACCCTTGGCTTGCAGCATGATTTGTATGATTTTACCAATTTAGTTATGTAATTTTCAAAAATTGCCAAAATATTGGAGAGGGTAAAATTACTCTTTCTTTATTTGTCATCAGCTGTTTCTAGTTTCAGAATTTTGCATAGTCTTGTTGCCACATTTGGAGTGCCTATAACCTGGAAAGGCGCATGGGAGTTAATGTAATTCGTTTACATAGAATGTGAGAAAATTATCCAAAAAATCCTAAATCCATCGTACTTTGACCGATTCAATCATGAATCTTTCAATTTTTCTAATTAAGTCATAAATCTTTTCACATTTTGCCAATTGAGTCTATTTAACTAATTTTAACCGGAAATCGCTGATGTGGACACTGTTGGTGCAACATAAGATGGCCACACTGACATGGATAATTTTTTATGAGTTTTTATTATTTTCATTTCTTTTTTCTTTTTCTTTCCCTCTTCTTTTTTTTTTTCTACCAAGTCCGGCAAGGGTCACCGGTCAACCCTCACCGATCACATGCGAGGGCCGCGAAGCCGTTGCTGAGGTGCCAAACTTTGTTGGTTCGATAAATGGCAGCTCTTTTTTTTCACATACAAATTTTTTGACCCAATTAAAACAACTATTGTCCAATTTGGGAAATGAAAAATATGAATATCTCTCCATTTTCTGCTCCTTTATTAAATTCTTTTTTCGCGGTACATTTCATTGAATCTTTGCCCATCTCTTGAATAGCCACCAATCAACATTTTCTTGCAATTACTGCATTCAACCGGTGCTTCTTCTATGCTAAGCCATCCATTTTTGGCAATTACTTAGTCAACAAGAAAAATTTGCAAAGCTGACATATATATTATTTAATATTAGGTCGAGCTGTTAGTTTGTTTTCCCATTTGTTTCGGAAAGAAATCTTTCAGATCCATTCCCATTTCTCGAAATTGGTTCTTATTCCCAATTGAAGTGGTTGATGCTAATGATTCACTAAGCTATAATTTAGTTTGGCATAGATCACACCCGATTCTCAATGTAACCACCTACTGGCACAATTATTGGTACTTTTACAGCCAGCTCTTGATGAGGTTCCAGTGAAAATCAATTTAACCGTGGGATTTCGAAATCAAAACCTCTTTGACTTCCTAAATTTGATTGAGATTTTTAATTGATAATGAATTTAAGGTGCGTTTGTTTCACTGACAATGAAGAAAAATATTTTTCAAAGGAATTTTTTTCAAGAAAAATGGTTAGTTTTCATTTGTTTAGCGGTTTAAGAAAAGTGATTTTCTTCTTGCCAGAAGTGAAAGTTATTTTCTCCCAATCTAAATTTATTATTTTTAGTTCACAGAAAACATTTTCCACAAATAGATTAATTTTCCGTTATCCAAATACCGGAAAGTCAGAAAACAGATTTCCAAGAAGAGGTTTTTTTCAAACGAACGGACCCTTAATGCATTGAACTTAATTCCTCTTTGTGTCACATAGTGACCTGGTTAAATTTCACACACAAAAAATAGATATATTCCCGCGCTTTCGTCGAAAATGGATTGCTCACGTCAAGACCGGTAGGTTTGTCCGTAACTAATTAACCATTTCCTCAAGATCTAACTCTAACAAGTTACACCGAAGCGAATTTAAAACGGTACATTCTCAAGTGTGGTTATTTAAACTAGGAAATAAGTTATATTAGAAAGATTTAATTTAAATCTAAAATGTAAAAGAGCGCTAAGAGAAATTACCAGAGTGATTGATCCTTTTGGATTATCATTTCATCAATTAACCGCTAAAAAGATATCCTTTTGAAAGAGCTTCCTATACGCTATCAAATAGGTACAAGGCGCATTGTCCACACATGCATGCACATCCCTCAAGCTCAACCACTAAGTTCTCCATTATGAATTTGCATTCTGGACAAAGAAATTTTCTCCTTTGGAACTTCCATGAGCCCTGAATTTGCCTCTCCAACACTCTCATCCTAGATAAGAATTTCATATCATGCTCATAAAATCTATAAACTCTATCTATGCACGTAGCAATTGAAAAGCCCGGCAACATATGGGAGATGCACTGACCTTGTTCTTGCAAAGCCAATAGGTCCAGCTATCAAATTGTTCCTAAGCTTGTCAGAGAGTTAATTTTAGATGCAATTCATTGATTGAGAGCTGCTAAACTTCAATATAGTCCCTCGTCCGCTCCGATTCATAATGTACATTAACGTGTACATCCCCGTGCACATATGTACCCGTGCATGCTTTGGTCTGTGGGGAAAAGAAAAACAGGACGTGTGCGATTGGGATGCATGGAGAGACAGACTTACATCTGCAAAAAAAAAGAGGACACTGATCTGACCATGCGACATTATTTAGCTAATCAGCGTATTTATCAATTCAATGTACACCACAATAACAAGGATTGGGACTAGGACAGAACAGAATTAAGTAACCTCTAGTGATGCAAATTGCAAGACCACTACATAATTCAAAAAGCGTCTCCAATGGACCTTCAGTCCATTTGACTTTCCACATCCAGTCCCAAGATCACCCATTTCATGCAGAGAGCTCTACAAATACCTAGTTGATTAATGGAATATCGTCCTGCTACTTAAATCAGCGGTATTCAATGTGACGAGTTATAACATACATCAAAACTAGTGAAGAATACAATTGGATAGCTAACCAGAATGAGATACTCGGAGAAGCCGCTATAAATTATCAACATCCAAAGGGTCGGTTGTTATGCTACTTAGCTCTGTCTCATCCATCTTTTTGCACACATATATGAAGTGAGAATCTGGATCTTCCACCACAAAATCAGGTGGAAGTAAACCCTTGTCAGTAAGAGGCACGGGTTCCAGATATGACCTTGATGTTGAACTATTGTTTGCCGGCTTCTGAAATCCTGGTCTGGCTGTAGAAAAAATGAATAGAGAATACTAAGAACAAATTCTCTTTTAACCTCACAGAAGAAACAAAACAAAAAACTCACTTAAATTATATGTGAGGCAAACGACCATTTAGTAAACTACAAATCGTGGAAAGTCACAACCAGCAATGTAAACCAAAGATGAGCTGCAAAGCAAATTGATATGAAATTTACTATAAAGCAACTTGATATGAAAATTTACTTTGTGATTCTTCTCTCTGTTGTGCGCTTTGGAATGACAAGCGCCAAAAGAACATACTTATGCTGGTTAAGTCCACAGGGATAACAAGTCCAATCAAGAGCACCATGTTGTACTTTAAACTAATGTGTGTGTAATACGTGATACCACAGAACCAACTTAGTAATGACTAATGGAGTAGTCAGATGATCTCATGCTTTTAGGGGACAAATGATATAAAACAATTGGCCAGAAAAGAAAAGGAAATAAAACAAGCTCTACAATGATCCCATGCCTGTAGATATAATAGATGTTTGTAATGGTTAAAGATCAATTACAGCAAGTACTTTCTGCAGATTGTCAGGACATATTGGTCATATTCTTCCATTTTATAGGATTTCTCTCCTGATCAGAAGGACTTACGTATGATGTACAGAATGATTCGCCAGTTGTATACTGGTTGGTTCAAATGAAGCATCCTCACACTCGGATCACCATAGGTAATCTGCAAATCATCATCTAGTTTTAAAACCTGAAACCAGAGATGGAAATGGGCAAGACATGCTTAACATGTTGCATTTAATTACCAGCATGTAAATTCCTCCAGCTTTAAGAAGTCTACAAGCAAGGAACAAACATAAGTGAGGACAAGAGCAATTAAAAGAGAAGACGGACTGTGTCTTCCAGAAAAAAATACCTACGAAATTCTAAAGAACATAAAGACAAGTCAGAAAGGGAAATCATGTACACGACCTGCTCACCTCTCCTAGCATTCGAGCAGCATTTGTCGGCGCATCCGTGCCACACTAATCAAGAAAAGCACAATTTAAAAACAAAAAAATGCTGATGCATGAAATTATTGAGTATGTACTCACTACTCAGACAATTGAATAAGCAACATACCATCAAGGAATCAAGAGTTCCTGGTCCCATGTTAACAAGTCACGTGAATGCATATCTCGGATAGAAAACAGATTATGATCAGCACACCATAATCTTGCAAATTAGAAGAGTATTTATTGAGGGGAAGAACATTAACCTTTATCGATGACACTGTCAAATGACTCATCCGGGAAGAAGCTCATGTCCCTAACATCCATTTCAATGTCTATTGAGCTTCATCAAGGAACAATAACCAGAATTTGGAAGCAGCAGGAGAAAGGTATCCGAAATCAAAATATAGAAAGCCAAAAGGATACATTTAAGCTGAGGGATGCATTCATATTTTCTTCTCATCATTTCAATAGCCACTGAGGAAATGTCAATGTTCGTTATGTCTTCATACCCATCCTTTACCATGTCTTCGGACATTACTGCAAATAATAACAATTTTTAGAAGATCATCACAAACTACAAGAGAATGCCGAAACTCTGCCGTAGTAACTCTACAGAAACTCCATAAGCTTTCATAATATATATTACTTCTCCTATCAATACAACAAACCCAAAATCCAAAAGTTTCAGATGACTTTGGTTAACAATCTGTTAGTGAAAAACAAAATAGTGACTCAAAAATTAATATACATTCTTTAGTGACTATAGATATGTTTCTGCATTGAAGAATACAAGCTAGGGACTCCTCTGTTGCAATAAACTAACCATAAAAGAGTTGTTAACAAGCAATTGAGGGTGTATGCCCCCCCCCCCAAAAAAAAAAAAAAAAACTGAGGTTGAGAGGTGTTTCTACTTTATGGTCAAGAAATCTAGAGTTGCATTACTTTCCTTCCTGCGTCTTTAATAAGAACCCAGACAGAGTGAAGGATCAAACCCAGGATTCCCAAAGTGCAAGCAAGATTAATTTCCTCTTTTACAATTGATAAAAGAAAATGGTCATAATTAATATTTCTCTAGAACTATCAATCAAGCATAAAAATTTGTGTCGATTAGTCATCTAAAGAATAGAGAAAACGGATGTATATCATGAACCATGACGATTTAGATTAATCCAAGGGATGCTTGCGTTATTGCCATTTATTTAACTATCCAAGACAGGCAGTCAATTTAGAGCTCTCACATCCCAACAATATTCCAACCCAATCCACCCACTTTTGTTCAATGATCCATCACGAACACAGTCATAGATATACCGAGGAAATATGTACACAAATGATATAAAAGAACTTACCAAAAAGAAAATGATATAAATCAAGTTCCACAATGAATCTGATAAAGAATAAGAAAACTAATAATGGTAAGGGAAAGAATCACCTGACATCAAAAAACCTAAGAAAGAATAATGTAATTCAAGTGGCACAGTCGCAAAATTAAAAAGATCTCTCATTTTCCTGAGTATCCACATGCACAACAAACGCAGGAGCAAGACAGATAACAACAAGAGTATGGTAAGAGATGAGGTCGGTTTAGCATCTAAAAGCACTGCCAGAAGTGCCAGAATCCTTTTGACCTCAGGAAGAACAGTAAATAAGTAGAGGAAACAGCAGAATAGCCTAACTTCAAGAAGGGTTGACCATTGACATCACAATACTTGGGCCCTATTTTCGCTCATCCACCTCTTTTACCTACAGAATGACCATATGCAGAAAGCTAACACTTACAAAAACAGATTCAATCCAAAGCTCTCATACTTCCATTCCGAAAAGTCGCCTTCATATCTTGTAGCATAGTAATTGTCTTCCGAGTTTTTCAATTCTACATACCAAATACAGTCTGACAGCCTAAAGTGCCAACGGATAAAGTGTTACTTTCCCATAATGATCGCAACGCAGAAAATATAGAGCTCAATGTTCCTGATTTAATTCCTCAACACATTGCAAGAGCAGAGTTTCACCAAAAACATATGTGAACAGATGCTGGACGGATTTAACTAGCGAGTTTAACTTACGAACAGGCCAACCATCAATTCCAACAAAAAATAAAAAACAAAACAACTTTCATGTCCTTGAGGAAGCAGAATTTGGAAGAATCCAAATGAAGAATGCAATTAAAACCATGTAGATTGATTCAGGTCCAAGGTTCTTAGTCCACGGCACAACAAAATCGGGAAAACAAACTCGGACCAGTAACTTATAACTTTCCGCTCAATTCACAGCAAATGTCCCAAGAACTAACTAGGGGGTTTCCACAAGCAAGATCCTAAATTTCTCCCCAAAGATCCCAAATTCGAACCTGTTCTCCCATACCCGTTAAGCTCCCGAGCAGATCGAAACAAAGCGACCCCCACAGCGACCATTGAGGACGCAAGAGAAAGAGCCACGGAATGAGCAGAGACAGAGAGAGAGAGCGACGAGGGCGGAAAGATCACATACGGGCGTTGCCGCATCCGACCATGAGGACGCGAGAGGAGAAGCAGGGGATGTACATGCGGACGAAAGGGCGAAGGCCAGCGTAACGCTGGTACCAGTCGAAATGGCCCATCTCCGCTTCCTGGACGTAGCGAGCGTCCCAGTACACGGCGTCGCCGTAGTTGTACGTGTTGCAGGTGGACACGTCCCTGTACATGCTCCTCCTCCTCCGCCTCCTCCGCCTTCTCCTTCTTCTGCACGGTGGCTGGTTCGCTTTCGAGCGAGTAGGTGATCTGGTGCTATGTCTGCTGCTGCCGCCTTCTCTTTTATTCTGTGGTGTGTGGGAGTGCGGGGTTCGGTTGGGTCTGTGGTGAGCGAGACGACGAGGTAAAGAGAGTGGGGTGGGGGTGGCGATCTTTAGTTTTTTTTTTTTTTTTTTTTTTTTGGTCGATTAAGATCTTTAGTTGTTCGGGCGTGCGATTGTTGTTGTTTTTGCTAAGGACGGAGGTTGTTGGTGGTTTTGTGGGGGCGTCAGATCTCGCCGTACATCACCCGGGCCCGCTTTTGGGAAATTCTCGTCTATTGCTTTGATTTACCCCCCAAAAGTTCAAATTGGAAAAAAAAAAATTTCTAAGTTTCTCAAGGAATTATGAAAAGATGCGGGTTTTATTTGTTTCGCGAAAAATATTTTTCTCGTATTTGGGCATTTGGATCGCTTAGAAAAACGAGTCAACGGAAAATATATTTCTACCAAAATTTAAAAATAATTTTCTCTTTAAAAAATCAGAAATTATTTTCCAAAATATGATTACATGTCGACGCTTGTACCAGAAACTCTACGTTTGGGCACGAGAACCCTCATGCTCGTTCTCGGGCCCTTGGCAGTTGGGTTGGGTCCCTTGGAGCCCAGGTCCATCGAGGCCGAGCTCAGGATCCCGACGCCCCACCCCAGGTCCATCTAGGCCGCTCCCAAGACTGTGGGCACCACACTCAAGTGCATAGAGGCTGCGCCCAATAATACGAGGTTGGGTTCGAGTCCTCGGCACCTGTGCCTGGGTCCATCAAGATCGGGCCTTGACCTTGGCGAGCATGGTAGGGTCCCCTGCGCCCACGCCCACTCCCCAATCCATCGATCAAGGACTAGCCTCAATGGACTTGGGCATGGGCACCAAGGTCCCAAGCCCAATCTCGATGGACCTGGGTTCGAGTGCAGGGGACCGAGTCTTAGGCACCAGGTTCAAGGCACAATCTCAATGCACCTGGGCGCTATCACCAATATCGGAGTTTCAGGCCCGCCCTCAATTGACCTAGGCTCAAGCGCTGAGATCCTAGTCTCGGGCTTTGGGGTCTGGGGCTCAGCCTCAATGGACCTAGGCCCAGGCGCCGGGGACCTGGGTCCGGCCTTTGTAGACCCGGGTCGCGACACTAGGGAGCCCGACATTGGCAGCAAGTTCTTGGGTTCGGTTTCGGTGGTCCCAAGACCAATGCCCGTGCTTATGCTTGGGAGTCAGGGATCCGGGCTAAAGACGTTGATGCCCTTGTTGGATTCCTTGGCTACCGAGGTGCAAGACTCTTCATGCACAGTAGCACCTTGCGGCTCTCCATCAGCCACCGCCGTATTGGCGTCTCCACATCTTCAGCCGTCCCCAACAGCAGCCCCACCATCCTCGTCTCTCACTCCCCCGCCGCAACCACATAGTTGCACGTCGTCACTCCATCAGTCGGCATGGCGGCACCTTAGTTATCCTTCTTCTTGAACACCACGATGCTAGAAAATATCATAGATCCTTGTCGTCCTTCTTTTAATCTCACAATTCTAAGAGTTATTCCTTGGTTCTTTTCTACTCATATGTCTAGGCATCCTTAACCCAGGAAAAGAATATCTTTAGGGACGTCTAATTTACATTTTGACTAACAATTTTGTTCAATACTTGAAATTCACTTGATTCAATGTACTCAAAAGTTCAAGCTATGGAATCATGCGTCTGGCAATGAAAACATCCGCGAGGGCGTTAAAGAAATGTATCTTAAAATATTCGGCTAAATAAACGGGACACCGAACAGAAGTCCTCTTGCGGTATTCACACGTCCTGTTGCACCAGATGCTATCGACGCTACGTGTCCTCTCTCCATCTACTTCATCCCTCTTTCTTAGAGCGGGTGCCGCCATATACATGGCTCAAGAAAATGTGGCCATGTCTTCCCCGGAACGCACAGGTGAAGAAGCGAGGATAACATCAAAAGGGCAAACGTGGAGAGCAATGCGCATCATCGAGTCGACGACGAGTCCCGTGATCGAACCAACGACGGAAACGAAAGAGCCGTCGTCGCAGCAGAGAGGGAGAAGAAGAAAGCGGGCGGCGGCGGCGGCGGCGAAGGAGGGAAGGAGGAGGAGATGCCGTTGATGGCGCTGAACCATGTGTCGAGGCTGTGCAGGTCGGTGAAGGACTCCATAGAGTTCTACAGGAAGATGCTGGGGTTCGTGCTGATCGAGCGCCCGCAGGCCTTCGACTTCGACGGCGCGTGGCTCTTCAACTACGGCATCAGCATCCACCTGGTCCAGTCCCACGCCGAGGACCGGCTCCCCCCGGACTCTCACCCTTTGGACCCCATGGGCAACCACATCTCCTTTCAGCTTATCATCTCGAACTTGACCCGTGTGTACCTCTTTGTGACTTTCTAATCTGTCATTTTGTTATTAGTGTGAGGACATGAGTGCGGTGGAGCACAAGCTAAGGGAGATGGGTGTAGAGTACATGAAGAGGACGGTGGACGACGACGACGAGAGCGGGGCGTCCACCGACCAGCTCTTCTTCACCAACCCTGACGGATTCATGATCGAGATCTGCAACTGCGAGAACCTCAAGCTCGTCCCTGCCGGCTCTCTGGGCAAGATTAAGCTCCCCTTCGACCGGCACAACCCGCTAGTCGAATTGAACAAGGAGGAGGAGAGCTAATTATAATCGCGGTTTCATCTGTTGTGAAAGGTTGGTGTTGGAGTGCTTGTTCTTAGGTCCTGTATCAAGAACGCTCGTGTGCTTGTTCTTAGGCATACAAGCGTTGGGGAAAGGAAAGGTTTGTTTGTAAATTGGTATATCCATTTTGGACATTAGGCTTTATCGACACAGAGAAGATAGAAATCCGTATTCTAACGGTTTACGGTTTAGAGTTTTTGGCGGTAATAAACCTAAAATTAATGGTGCTTTTCTTCTTCTTTTTTGCTTTATTTTTTAATTTGCGCAAATGCTTTTTTCAGCTTCCTTAACCCTGTCAACTATTTAGCAAAAAAAAAACTGTCAACTTGCTCGTGTTTTGTCACCTGGAAGCTCCATGTTATGACAGCAGATCAAGTCCCTCTTTTCGGAACACGATCCCATCAGAAGCTGCTTTTCCATTTGTGACCAATTGATTCATCTGAACGTGCAAACTCGTCATTGAGATCTTTAGTTGAAAAATTCAATATCACCATTAAGATTAAGGATGATGAACTTCATCTTATTTTACTGTAATTTTCTTTTGCGGGAAACAGTGAAGATATATATTATATATTATATACCATATTTGATAACCCATTTTAGGGCATTTATGTCATATTCAAATGCACGAGACAAATAATAAAAAAATTCACCAAATTCTGATTTTCCTCGAAGGACTCAATAAGTTACCCTTTCATCAAAGGTAAAGGTAGGCATTATTCACGATCAAATTTTCTGTGCACTACTATATGGTTAAAAGCCGAAAGGGCCTTCGAAAGGGCTTTTCAGCTTTTCTGTAAAATTAAGAAAATTAATTTAGTTTTTAAAAAATTCGCGTTTGTTGATGAGTTAAGGTTTAGCATTAATGAAGGTGAAAATATTGAGATAAAAAAGTCAAAAGGGAAAACTCAATCCAAATTCACACGCTTGCGTACACTTGGCATTTCCTGATTGGCCATGCTGACATATATAACACTACACCCGGCAGCCAAACTGGAAATTTGCCAGAAATGACAAACTTATCCACAGGCTGCCGTTTAGAGATAACTTGATATGCTTTATGTGCTAATTAAACATATATTAATAACTTGTTAATAATTTATGCACTGGTTAATGGAATTGAGTATATATGTTAACATCATTTAGGGAGGATAGACAAAAATGAAATAATTATCATGTTTGCGCGATAATTTAGTAGGGCCACCATAACATTCAACCCACACTTATTCACTGCTTATAGTTAAATTGAATTTAATTCAACTACGAACCCTCTTTCTCAAACCTTTACTTTATAAAACAAATAAAAGATATTAATCAGAAACTTTAGCAATAGTGTATCAACTTAGTCGGATAGGTGCTCTTCGAAGATTTATCTTCGCTTCTTGCATAAGTATTTACATCATTTAATTTTGAAATCAGTCGATATGTTATATATGGTTAAAGTCGAAGACAAGAAAATATTCACTCCAATACTCACCACATCGTGACTTCACTTTGTGTCAGCATTTGTCACGTAGCATAACATTGTCTATCTCTTATTGGATTTAAATTACAAAATATATATATTGAAGACTTTATCTCTTATTAACTTCAAAATTAGCCAAAAAGGATAAATTACAGGAAGCATTTCCATTTATACTCTATCATCTTCCAATTTCTACATTCTATTTATATTAAGTTTAGTTATTAAAAAATGGATAAAGTGAAAGTGTATCAGTATTTTATCTCTTTATTAAGTTAAAATTCAGAAAAAGATAGACTAGAGAGAGTACTTTAAATGATACTCTTCACCAACATGGCTTATTCTCGATATAGTTTTTTAAATGTACTTGTAAACGAAAATTTTGAGTCATATTGGTGCAAATATTCGAGCTCAACTCAAATAAATAGACAAAAATATCTTTAAATAATACTTAAATGAAGTCGTTTGTATTTTAAAAAATGAAAATACCAATGAAAATTGTAAATTTTGTCCATCTTAACACTAATATGTGTTTTTACGTACCAAAGCCCTCAAACTTGTACTAGTAAGACAAGATTACCATATGTCTACCACAAAAAACTTTGTCCACCGAGACATCAATACCCTAAACTTTTTTCTTGTCACTGATACTCCAAATTTTTACTTGTGTGATAAAAATACCCTCTTTCTAACACTAAAAATCCTAAACTCTGCCCATGGTGACATTTTTACCCACAATTTTGTAAACAATATAGATCATTTCTATTTTACTATTTTTTTACTTTTTGAATAAACATATTTCGATTATGGCTTTCCGTATTTCGCAAGAATCATTTGTATTTGAATTTCATGTATTTAGGAAACTCAACATTGCAACGCGTTTTTTTCTACCACATCGCATCTCATATTAATAGATTATTAATAATTCGAAAACATCGCATGAAATTCCAAAATGTAGGGTGTGTTTGATTTGGCCTTGCAAATGGGCCTTGGAAAAATGCAAATGCCTTTTGTCTAAAGCCCATTGTAGAAATGTAAATCTTTTGTGAAGTTAGTTTGACCTAAATAATGTTTAGCAAAAAAAAATTTTGAAAAGGGCTTTTGGGTTTAATTTTTCTTTTTTTATTAAAAAAAATCAAACCCTTTGCTAGCTTTAGGGAAAGGCTACGACGGCCGACAAGCCAGATCTGGCACCGGCGGGCATCACCTGAGGTCATGCAACCCTTGGCGAGGGTCACGTGACCTCAGGTGGCTATTGTTAGGGTCGTGTGACAAAGCCTAAGGTCACGCGAACTTGGTCCCTCGCCGACCTGATCTAGCCTTATTGGCCCTTGTCGATTGCCCTTGCGCAAAGAAGATGAACAGTCACAACTAGGGGCAAGGCAAAATCGAAAAATTAGAGAATTGGAAAGGGTAGTTTGGGAAGAAAAAAACTAATTCAGCATTCGGCCAAATGCTGAAATTTCCAAAGCTAGCATTTGGTTGAAAGCCCCTTGGAAAGAATCACTAAATGCCTTAGCATTTCCCCAAGGGGCTTTAGGTCTCATTTGGTTCAACTTTTCCGAACCTCTTTAAGAAATGCTGGGGCCTTTGACAAGTGTTCCTAATGGGCTTTTGGCCGAAAGTTAGCATTAGGAATGCTGAAACTAATTTTTTTCTTCTAAAACTACCCTCACTAATTCTTTAATATTTTAGTTTTGCCCCTCGTTGTTACTGTTCATTTTCTTTGTGCGAGAGCGACCGACTAGAGCTGACGAGGCCAAATTGAGACAACGAAGGGACAGCGAGGTCGCACGACCTCGGCAACGGCCACCTGAGGTCACACGATCGCCTAGCCGACAGTGACCTGGGTCGCGCGACCTTAAGCGGTTGTCATGGCTTGGGTCATGCGACCCTAGGTGATGGTGGCCTGGATCGTGCAACCCTAGGTGACGGCTACCTTGGTTGCGCGACCTCAGGCCTCGTCGCTTGGGGTCGTGTGACCCCCGCTAGGGGTCGGACGACCTCGGGCAACGGTCGCTGGTGCTAGATCTGGCTCGCTAGCGACCGTAGCCGTTCGCTGGCACTTGAGAAGGGTTTGCTTTTTTTTAATAAAAAAAATAAATCCAAACCTTTTGAAAAATTTTTTTACCAAACACTACTTGGTTTAAAGTAACTTTACAAATGATTTTTTATCAAACGTCATTTGTATTCCCTAAGAGGCTTTAAGTTACAGGTATCTGTATTTCCTCAAGCTCATTTGCAAAGCCAAACCAAATGAAGCTTGAGAGGCTGAAACCTTTTGGGAAAGCCAAACCAAATGCATCCGTACACTTTGCAACTTAAATCTTGAATGGATTGAAAAATTACAAAAAGATCATATAAACAAGTGTGCGGAGAATTGTAGCTCTGTCGAAATCTTCGAAGCGACGCTTTCATTGAATATTTGGTGTTCAGTTAAGAGATAACCTTATCAAAGGAATGGAGCTTTCGCTCCTACGAAGGCCCTCGGCATGTCCGTTTAATATACAAGGATGGCGGACTTCACGGATGCATTCCTTAGTTTAACGTGCCAATGCTCGCACGCCTTGCACTTCCAATTCTCTCGACATCTCTATCTTCACTAGGGAGAAGGAACATCCAATGGAAGTTTTATCCCGATGATCTCAAAATGAAGGCTTTTAAGGGCATGCTTAGGTCGATAGGTGTGCAAAATGCGGGATTTCGAAAATTGCGAAAGTCTGACACAAAAAATGTAATTTTCTTCAAAGCGTTACTACAGTAAAACTGCGTTTCCCCATCACAAAACGACATATATATATATATATATATATATATATATATAATAAGCGAAAAACAACACCTTAATACAACCGAAAGGACGATAACATAATTCCTCAGCAGTCATATAGAAAAAAAACACACAATTTCACTCCTCTGTCCCTGTCTCCCCCCCCCCCCCCCCCCTTTCTCGTCTCCCTCCCTCCCTCCCTCTCATGCATCCATAGATCCGATCACGCAAACCCTAGACCATCATCAGATCAACATCCCCGGCTCTCAAAATTCCATCGTATCCGTCCGCCGATCGATCCGATTTGATTCGTGCCGTGCCGCATAAATCCGCAACCTGAGAATTTTTTTTTTTTCGCCTTCTTTTCCGTTCTGTGCCCGCGGCTCTGCGAATTCCGGAGATGGCGTGCATAAAGGGCGTGGCCCGGTCGGCGTCGGTGGCCATGGCGCCGGACGGCGGCTACTTGGCGACCGGGACCATGGCCGGGGCGGTGGATCTCTCCTTCAGCTCCTCCGCCAGCCTCGAGATCTTCGGGCTCGATTTCCAATCGGACGATCGAGATCTTCCCCTCATCGCCGAATCCCCCAGCTCCGAGCGCTTCAACCGTCTTTCTTGGGGCAAGAATGTGTCCGGCTCCGATGAATTCTCCCTGGGGCTCATCGCTGGCGGCCTCGTCGATGGAACCATTGATGTTTGGAACCCGCTCTCCCTGATCCGGTAATTGAGAATTGTTTTGATTCGATTTCGAGTGTGAATTGGTGCTCTGGAGTGGAGATCTAGCTTAAGCTTCTGTTTCAGCGGGTGAATATCTGTTCTTGGATGCAATCGTCGTTTCTCGATTTGGACACTGAATGGGATTTGAGGTCTCTAGTCTATTGGAGTGATGGTGCAATAGAAGGGTGGTAATGTTGAGTATCGGTGTGAGTTATTCTGAAGTCTGAACCTCCTCGTCACGAAGTGGTGAATGTTGTTGCGAAGCACCAGTTAGTCTGGATATTAGTATCCATACGAATGAAGGGTCCATTGACATGCCTTGCATTTCTAGTTCTTAAACAATCTTAATTGCGGAATAAAGAATCCAGGACTGCTGTCTAGTTTCTGTATGTTTGTAGCTTCTCTATAGCAGGATTGTTGCCGTGGTTCAGAAGGAAGAGCGCATTCCATTTTTGAAGAATTCGTCTTTGAATTGAATAGTTTGGCTTACAAATTCTTCGCCTTCATCTAAATCTAGAATAATGTGCGTCCCTTACAAATTGTACTACTTGTATCTACCGATGTTATAGTGGTTTTATTGAATCAATCCAGAAATTGTTAGGTGAGGTTAGGTATCTGAAGGGAAGTCCTTTCTGTCATTGCCCACTTGTCGGGTCTTATTTGAAATCATGTTTTGGTACTCTAGGGCCTGTTTCCTTGATGGAAAATTTCAAATTTTCCATTTTGTTCTCATATGTGAATGAAAACATCACTGAAACTGTGTTTGGAGGGATTATGGAAAAGTTTTCAAATGAATACACGGTTACCTTGTTTTTGTTTATTAGGCACCTTTCTGGTGTCTCACTGTTTTCAGTCCAAAATGAAAACACATTAATGTTGGACTGAACTTTTTTGGTTAGGTAAGGGAAAGAACCTTTTATTTTATTTTTTATTTTATTGAATCATCAAACAGGTGTTGAAAATTTTCTTTTCTGTAGAAAATTCTCATTTTGACTTACTGAACCCTTTTTCAGAATAGCGGAGAATGAAAAACATGAGAAGTGTTTTCATTCGCGTTTTTTATGGAAAAGGGAACCGAAAATGTTTCTCGAACCAAAAGGCCCCTTCATGTTCTCATTTTGGCGTGGCATTATAGGATGAATGAGTTGGACAAGAATTGAGTGATGATTTTCATTCAAGAAATTTGATCAAGAGCAGTCGTGAATTGAGGTTGATCTCAATTTTATGTTGCCCATTTAACCGAGTTAAGTGCTTTTTCAAGCTGCATCTATCCATTTTAGTTCTAGGTAATTAGTTTGATAATTTTTTTTTCCGGATAGGTTAAAAGATTTAACTGTAGAGGACCAAGGGTATGGAAACCCATATGCAAAAAGAGCTCAAAAAACGAAACCCCTATACAAAAAGCTCACAAAGCCAAAAGGGAGCTCTCGCGTTAACTATATACACCAAGGCATGAACATCTATATGCAAGTTTCTACTATACCATAAGTTTAAAACTTTAATTCAATTAGCAATCAAAACAAAAATGGAAGATTCCTCTTTATCATAAGCTCTCTTGTTCTGTTCGTTCCAAATCAACCAGAAAACAGAGGGAGTAGATGTTAAAATTCTTTGGTGAAGATTACTTAGTCGTCTGGAGTAAGGTCATTCAAATAACCCATGTACTTAGTGCTCTCTCTTTTTTTCAGAACCGCAGTCGTTTTTTTGCTAAGTGTCATTTGGTTGGGGTGCCTTATCCTGAGATTAAAGAAGTAGGATGATGGAGTTGGTTTTCTATAGGTTCTAATGAGAAAATTGTAGATCGTTATATCTTGATTCAGCTGCTCGATTCTGTTGTGTTGGCTTTAGTTTCGACCTTCGTCTTAATGTCTCTATTCAGGCAATTTGATTCTTATGAAGGTTCCATCCTATACAGTGTATTGGGACACCAATATAATAAGTCTTGACTGGCCTTCACTGTGTTGCTGTTAGCACTTGAGGACGTGTCTGGTTTCATTTTGGAAATATTTTCTCTTGGAGACCTGGGAGTAGTGTTTCCCCATTCTAAGTTTTTGTCATTTTCATTATTTTCCATCCTGTCTTGTTGTTGAAATGAGACAACTCATAACATGGAGGAGCTAGGGGCGACACTATATAGTCTTTTCTGTCTCTCCATCTCTTTACCAATCATGAAAAGTGCCTCTAGACCTAGTGATTAGTCGTTCAAGTCCTGCTATTTCTCTGAAGCTGGCCCGTGATTTTCTCTCTTCTTTTGTTTGGTTTTTGAAAAATAGCAAGAATCCAGATCTGCATCCACTGATTTGTCAAAATCAAGTGTCAATTTTTAATGAGAGTGATCAAAAGCAAGCTTTTAAAAAAATTTCATTTCCAAGCTTCAACTTCTTAAGCTTTAGCCTTGAAGCTTTGGTTAATCTTGGTGACGTTTCTTGAAGCTTCTTCAAGCTTGTTATGTGGTGTATTTTGTAGCCTTGGAAATGTTTGTTTTGGTTTTAGGTTCCTGTTCAGTGATATAGATGCAAGTTGAAGTGTAACCTCCTTGATTTCCTTTGTTGAGGGGTTTTAGCATTTGGCTTCTCAATTGAGAAACATGATTATCGACTGCAAATTCTTAAATTCTTTTCACACCATGTCTGAAAATAACTTAAACTGAATTTATTTTCCGTCATCATTCTTGTAAAATTTACCTTTTTGCTGCAGTAACATATTCTCAAGAACAGAAACAACAATGAGATTTAAAAAACTATTCTATACGTGTTTTCCGTGCAAATTCATGTGGAAAGTATTTTCTGCGATAGAATGCAGTCGTATAGCATCTATCGTAAAGTGGCCCGATAACTGCCAGTTAAAGCTGGTTTGAGAAGGGGGACAGCTCATCCAATTACATAGCCCATTTGATATCATGTTAAATGATAAGAATCCATGCACTTTAATAACAAGTAAAGTGGACAGTTGAATGGTTGTTAATGTGGCCTGGATATTGGTAAGATCAATAGGGCGATGAGATCTATCCCCCTTTTTGTAAGGCTGAATAAATATCACGTGCTTTTGACGTTATTTTCGTAAGTAGCTGAGCTGCCTATTCCTGTGGACTTCTGTGCTGCTATTGATTTGCAATAACAGTCTCAGCTAGTGTATATTTGGATTGAGACTATTGTTTTGTTTGGAGGAAGTACAGTTGGTATTCTGTATTTAATGTTTTTCCCTTTTTAGTTCCAAGGCTGGTGAGAAGTCAATCGTAGGACACCTTTCTAGGCATAAAGGACCTGTAAGTCTCCTTGTCTTCCTCTTTTTCTGTTCACTGCTTGTTATTGTCTATCTGTCTCTTGATACTTAGGTTTATAGTATGGTTATGTTGATTTCTCAATTCAGGTTCGCGGTCTTGAGTTTAACGTCATTGCGCCAAACTTACTTGCCTCTGGGGCTGATGATGGTGAAATTTGTATTTGGGATTTGGCTGCACCAAGAGAACCTTCTCATTTCCCTCCTCTTAGGGTACGTTGGGATCTCAGGATTTTTTCCACAGTTCACTTGCTTAGGAATTTATTTATATATTTTTATATTATTCAGGCTTGTCTTGTCTTGTCATGTAATGAATGGATATTTTTGTCCCAATAACGACAAAGCCTTACACCACTAGGTGGGGACAACATGGATCTTTTTAATCAAGGCATTCATCAGTTAGGAATTGAGGTCTGGATTTGTTCAGTATAATTTTAACTTCTGGACTAAACAGATGTATTGGAGCATTTTTTGCCCACAAGCCACTGAGTGAGCAGCAAGCATGCTGGTGTGTATTGGATTCACGAGAGAAATTAACTTTTTCACTTCTCAGCTATTTGCCTGCCAGTAAGCAGGTTTGGATGGCTGTTGCAGCCATCTAGACACAAAGGCAATTCCTATTTTGGAAATATTTGGTTCTCGACTGCTCTGCCCTTGCATGTGAGCTGGACTCTGATGGTAGTTTTGGCGCTTCTTTCTAAAAAGCGCGCCCATTTTAGGAACATAATTAGACTTATGCATGGAATGCATCATTTATGATTCACGATGCATTGTCCCCAGCATGACATGAAATGAGGCCTAAATCATTTGCGTCTTGGCCTGGCCTTGACATTTTGTATATTACTCTGGTCTATGGTATGAAATGATCTCCTATTTATATTGTGGAACTGCCAAATTTCCAATTGTACTGGCATCTCTTTGCTGATGTTGATTGATGAGATTGTTATTTTCCTGGTTTGGCCTTTCATGCGTCTTGTCCAGATTTCTGTAACTTGGAGTTATGTATTTCTCGGAAAAGGACACCCCAAGGGCCATAATTTTCGTACGGTTGCCATAACTTTTTTTTCGATCGCTTCAGTGTCATATAACTTTCCAATTGATCACTTTAGTGTCATTAACTTTTTAAAAAACATTCACCACAAGTGCCATGCCATGTCGGATTTTCGACACTTGGGTAAACGTTTATTTAAAAGTTATGGCACTCAAGTGATCGATTGGAAGTTATGGCACTCAAGTGAACATTTTTTAGAAGTCATGGCACTCATGTAATCGAAAAAAAAGTTATGGCACTCAAGTGAGTGCTGTATTAAAGTTATGGCACTTGTAGTGCCATTATCCCTTATCCCTGTAAATGCTCTTTTAAGTTAACATTATGGGTCAACTATATGAAGATTGAAGGGTGAATTTGCTGAGGCATCTGAGCCAAGTCTTTCTATTTTTTCTTGCAGGGTAGTGGTTCTGCTGCTCAAGGTGAAATTTCATTTTTATCTTGGAATAGCAAAGTTCAACATATATTAGCCTCCACGTCCTATAATGGGTCAACTGGTGAGAAAAAAAAAGGGATATTATCCCTTTCTTTTTATATTATAAAGTGCCGTTTGTCTTCCTTGGGGCAAAAGTCTAATTTCTTGCTTTTCAGTTGTATGGGATCTCAAGAAACAAAAACCAGTCATAAGGTAGCTTTCGACCTCTAGCTTCCTCACATGTATATTTGCTTGGTCTTTATTATCTTTGTAGTTATCTAGACAACACTAAATGTGATTTACCTTTACCAAATGGCAGTTTTTCAGATTCAGTTAGAAGGCGTTGCTCAGTTTTGCAATGGAACCCTGATCTGGCTACTCAACTTGTTGTTGCATCAGATGAAGATAGCTCTCCTTCTCTAAGGGTAATGACCTGACCTGGCATTGCTGTCTCATTTACGAACTCAGGGTAGATAGAGTGTGTTTAATCTCTCGCTGTGCTGATGTTTTGCGCAGCTTTGGGATATGAGAAACATAATGTCACCTGTTAAGGAATTTGTGGGGCATACAAGAGGTACACATCTATGCCGATAGTATTTTCTTTTGTTGTTATATTAAAGATCTTATCATTCCTAATGTCATATTGATAGAGGCAGGGAGGAGGGAGAAGTTAATTTGGTTGTAGCGCACAAATGCAGAATCCTTAGTATTGGTCTCATTGTAATCTTTTAGATGGATAGATTTGGAAAGTGGTTCGGTAGCTTGAGGTTGCATTTGGTCACCAAGAAATAAAATTATATAGGATAGGATTGGGTTGGATCTTTTGTCTAGAAAATACTGAGTATAAGAACCATTCCTAACCAATTGAGTTTTTGGAGACCTAACTAAAATTGGTCAAGTATTGAAAAATTCAAATGAATTACAAAAATAAAGCAATGGAACCCTAAGAATATAGAAGACAGACGAACAGAGCATCGTCTCGGTGGTGACAACCACCACAGTGATCACTGTTGACTGCACGTGCGAGCAGCGGCCACTGCTCTTAGCTACCACCTCTAGGAGACTTCCTTCTCTTTCCATTTTCACTTTCTTTTCTTTTAAGAAGAAATCATTGCCCCAATGTTTGCGTGCACAGTTAACTTGATGTAAAAAATGTCTATTTTATCTGGTTAGAATAGTCCACTTGATATAATCTCTCTGACTTTTTCTTATCCTTTCTTGCACTTCTTTTCTTTATGTTGACGAGATGATATAATTCTTATGGTGGAATAACCATTCTTTCTCGGGATTGCTTGGACATGTGTAATGCAATGTGGAAGTCCATTTTGCTTTTACGTGTAATCCAAGTTTATTATTTAGATATCTGGAATGGCTCACTTTTCTTGCTGCAGTTTGTTGTGGCATCCTTCTGTCTGTTAGTAAAACATACCATCGTCCACTTGCTTACCGACGAGTATCTGCTCTTATATCTTTTAATTTCCGCCATTTGTATCTGTTTACAATGTATTAAGTTTTCTGCTATAACTGAGTTGATGGCTTCTCTGCTCACCTCTTCTGCTCGAATATCTGACGCCAGGTGTTATTGCAATGTCATGGTGTCCTAATGATAGTTCCTATTTGGTCACCTGTGCTAAAGACAATCGAACCATATGCTGGGATACGGTTACTGGAGAGGTACTTATTATGATGCTGGGTTTTCCCATTTTTCTTTTTTCATTTTATCGTAATATTCCTACCTGTACTAGTGCACATTTTTGTGTTCAATTTCTATTTTTTATTTTGCGTCACTCATTTAGTGGCAATTTTGGCTGCTAGTATGTCAGGCTCTATGTTATTCTGACAATTTCCATTTACTTATGTTTGTCATAGATTGTTTGTGAATTGCCTGCTGGGTCCAACTGGAATTTTGATGTACATTGGTACCCCAAGATACCTGGAGTTATATCAGCATCTTCATTTGATGGAAAGATTGGCATCTACAATGTTGAGGTATTTCTTTTCCTTTTCTTCCGTGTCTAAAGGTCCATATCTGGCTGCACCTTGTTGAGGGCTTTATTATTTCAATTCGAGAATAGTAGAGATTACGAGGTTGAGAAAGACTTGAGACTTCCTTTCATCTGATTCAGAGAACTAAAATCTGCGCCAAATGTGTTTTCTGGTTGTAGATTTCTTTGAGAAAAATGGTCTATCTATTACTAAGTGGTTCTATTGAATCTCGAAATTATGTGTACTAGAAAAATACCCACACTATGCCGCGAGACAAAAAATAACCAAAGGACTACATCCATTAAGGGAAAAGAGAAACTCTACATATTTTTATTATCCTGAAATAGTAAAGTGATTGCTTGAAAATAGACAAATGACATTTAATTTCTTGTCATTGTTTTGATATACTAATTTTTTTACAACGCAACCAAGGTTCGCTAAATCACAGCTTATTTCTACTAACAAAATAAAAGAATAACAGATGTGATGCCATTTTAAGTTATCATTAGATCGAGATTTATGATTGATCATGACAAATTGGTCCTATAACACGTGATAATAACATCAGAGTAGTGAACTTTTTTATCTGAGGTTTGAGAAGGCACAACAATTTAATTATACTTAAGTTTGATATGGAAATATATAAAAACAAAATAACAATTCTATGCTCAACAGATAAGTTGGGAAAAAAATAAAGGAAAGATAAATTTGTCTTTGAATAGATTGAAGAAAAATAAAAAAAATAAAGAGGAAAACAAAAATAATGAAAAAAGGAGATAGTGGATAACCTTATGTTTTATTTGGTCACATAATCTTATGTTTGTTGAGAAAAAAGGAACAATATTATAAAAGAAATTGAAAAAAATGAAATAACTAAAAGAATAAAGGCTGGAATTTTATCAATATCTCCCCAAAAAAAAAGCCTCGGAAGCCAGCAGGATTCGAACCTGCGGCATCCACATTACAAAAGTGGCCTAGTTCCAGCTGGGCGACATCTTCCTTTCCCTTAATTATTGCGATATTAACATATATAAAAATTAGTAAGACCAGATGAACCAATCATAAAACAACGCATGGTGAATTCGGGTGCACGGGCCTTTCTCTCTTGGTATATCGTGTTAATGTATTTAAAGATGTCCATTATTAATCTGCCTAAATGTATAGATGCATAATTTTGTTTGTAAATATAGACATGTACTCATAGAATCTCCTATTATTTTGCAGGGTTGTAGCCGCTATGATGTCAGGGAAAATGAATTTGGTGCTGGTAATGCTGTCCTAATGACTGGATTTTACATTTCTGTCAGTCCTTTACAGTCTATTAATAATCCCATGCTTTTGCTAGTCTACATTTGGTTTTATGGTCTAATACTGTCTGAAAAGAAATGATTTGTCAACATGAGTACCTTTGGCCAGGTTAAGATTTGTTTGCGCGTGTGCATGCCCCTGTGGGCGGGCGAAGAGAGAAAGAGATTTCGTTTACGAATTGCTCGGTGTCCTTCTCTGGTGCTCCCCTCTATAATTTGCTTATTAGATATGGTCACTCTTCATCTCGGGCTGATTCTTGCCAGTTGCATGTCTGGACTCGAGCAACACAACAGAAATTAATGAACAAATGAGATGGATGATTCTCTCATGTAATCTAGCCAGTTCTAGTCAGGTTCTATAATGCGACAACCAAAGCATTATGCTACTAATATACCAAAACATTATGCTATTAGTTATGTTCCTTTTCAAATTAATTGTGCGCTCATTGGAGGGAGCTGATGTTTGCTAACAGATCACAATCAGTTTCATCCTTTTTTACATCTGTTAATTTGTCTGCTGTGGTTCTCTCGCACTCCAGAAGTTTAACCTCTCCTTTCCCACACAGCAACTCTGAGAGCTCCAAAATGGTTTAAACGACCTGTTGGCGCATCCTTTGGTTTTGGAGGCAAGGTGGTTTCATTTCATACTCGGTCAACAGGGGGTCCTTCAGTGAATTCCTCAGAGGTGCATGTTTTTTCCCCTCCATCAATTTTGCTATCTAGAAGAACTTAACATTTGATTTTTTTCATTGTGTTCTTTTCCAGGTTTTTGTACACGATATCGTTACAGAACAAACTTTAGTGAGCCGCTCTTCTGAATTTGAAGCAGCAATCCAAAGTGGGGATAGATCTTCATTGAGAGCATTATGTGAAAAGAAGTCTCAACATTGCGAGTGTGTTACTTATTCAGTTAACTAATTTGTCTTTTATCTTGTTTGGAGAATAACAAATTTTCATTAGCAGATCCATGGATGACCAAGAAACATGGGGGTTCTTGAAAGTTTTGTTAGAAGACGATGGAACCGCAAGGTCAAAGCTTCTTACTCACCTTGGTTTTGATATTCCTACGGAGATGAATGATGGTTCACAAGAGGATCTCTCCCAGCAAGTTAATGCTCTTGGGCTTGAAGATGTGACTACAGATAAAGTAGTGCAGGAGGACAACAACGAAATTACGGTGTTTCCTACTGATAATGGCGAAGATTTTTTTAACAATCTTCCTAGTCCCAGTGCCGATACACCTGTATCAACTTCTGCTGGTGGCTTTGCTACTGTGAATGCTCCCGTGGAACCATCGCAAGACGAAGTAGATGTATTTGAGGAGAGCTCTGACCCATCGTTTGATGATAGTGTTCAACGTGCTTTGGTTGTTGGAGACTACAAGGCTGCTGTTGCATTGTGCATATCTGCTAATAAATTGGCTGATGCTTTGGTTATTGCAAATGTCGGAGGTGCCTCCCTATGGGAGAGAACCCGTGATAAGTACCTTAAGATGAGCCGCTCACCTTACTTGAAGGTGACATGTTTTAAGATAACTGAAATTTGTTTGTCTCTTACCAAAAAAAAAAGAAATTTGTTTATCTTTCTCTTTTTGGATACATTTTTATATGGTGTAATACCTTGGTACGTAAAAATTTCTTTAAATCTATGCGCTATCTCATTTGTTAAATGAATTATCTTACTTTCAGGTTGTTTTTGCAATGGTGAATAATGATCTCCAGAGCCTTGTGGACACCAGGCCCCTCAAGTTCTGGAAAGAGACGCTCGCTATTCTCTGTAGTGTAAGTTTCTCAATACTGAAGGAAAAAGTTGGTAGAAACGAATTTAAGTGTTATGTCTCTTTTTTGTTAAGAAACTATGCCAGTTGGGGTTTCTGTTATAGGAACTTTCTTTGGAAGTCACTCTTCTTATGGCCCTGATCAATGTACTTCTGCTCATGTTTAATGTACCAGTTTTTTGCACGCCTCCTGTTCATGTGCTTAGTATGATGTGCGATGGATGCTTCTTTATGCCAAATGCTTGCATTTGCTACTTTATAGTAGGAATGCTAGAAAAACGGCTATTTTGCTATGCCACTTTGATTTCAGTCTTTCTCTTGACACTGGTGGTAGAACTACAAAATCATGTGGCTGCACTTAATATCGTTCTTCCTCAGAGAAAGTCCAGCTTGCTATATACTGATAAGTTTTTCCATCTTGTCTTGATTTGACCCCTGGAAGTAATATACCAAGCTAGTTGATTGGAGAGGCCAAATCACATCTTAGATGTACTGAAATTGTCAATCACTGGTGTAACATTTTAGAACCATATTATCTTGGTAGTCTGTTGTTGATCTATCTCGCAATGCTTCGGACATCTACTGATGCATCTAAATTCTGGTTATATAAAGTTTGCACAGGGGGAGGACTGGGCAATGCTCTGCAACTCTCTAGCCTCAAAACTTATGGCAGCTGGTAACATGCTGGCGGCAACACTCTGTTTCATTTGTGCTGGGAATATTGACAAAACAGTGGAAATTTGGTCGAGAAGTCTGGCAACTGAACATGATGGGAAGTCCTACATGGACCTTCTTCAGGTAGTTACCTCCTTTTAGTTGTTTTACGCCATTAGCTTCTTATCAACTGTAGAGTTATTCATACACGTTTTCTTGGGATCAGGAATTGATGGAAAAGACTATTGTCCTCGCATTGGCTAGTGGCCAAAAACAATTTAGCGCTTCAGTGTGCAAGCTTGTTGAAAAATATGCGGAGATTTTGGCTAGTCAAGGGCTTTTGACAACAGCAATGGAGTATTTGAAGCTGTTGGGGACAGATGATTTGTCACCCGAACTTGTGGTCTTGAGAGATCGTATTGCTTTCTCTGTGGAAGCTGGTATGCTTTTGCTATAGCATCTGTTTACACACACTTAAAGACTGATTTGCATGCACGAATTTCAAATAGTCCCGTTCTTTGCTTATATTGAAGCTATGATACAAAAATGGACATCCGGTCATGGATTGTAGTTAGTATGTTCCATACCTAGCGTATGTTTCTAGAGAGAATCGCTTGTCCTGTCTACGAGCAGTTCCCTTTCTTTATGTAATGAATGAGATGTCTGTACCGTTTGCTTGCACTTTTTTTTACGGCCAAGGGGCTTTCTAACTGATTGGGAGCTACTGGGAAGGAAGTCTCATCCCATCCCCGTTTTATAGAAGTAGCCTCAGAGCCAAACACAGGGAAAGCAGCTCCTGGAGCAGATTCAAAGCTTAGTTAATAATTTATATACTTCTCGGTGGGAAGAGTTCAGAACTATCTGTCAGTCCACTAAGACCATTTGCTGTTGTTTCTTTCCTAATTTATTTTTTCTGCTTTGTCTCTTGTATATTAGAATCCAAAAGCTCAAAAGAGCAACATGAGGTTAATTGTGGGTAGCGGAATTATTTGCAATTGCTACCTCCTTCTACCTTATAAGGACAGGGTTGACATTAGGTTTTGCGAAATGATTCGTTGTTTCGTATAGTAGCTTGAGATGAGTAGGAATGTAGTCTTGACATTTTCTGTAAGAACATTAAGAGTCGCTTTTCATCTGTAGTTATCTATTTATTTTCATTAGTTTCTTTGAGAATGGTTGATTGAATAGGAGTTTAATCTATTACTTTTCCAAGTATTTTTTGTCGCTTGGTTAAATTTTCATTTTAAAAATTTACTTTCGAGCTTAAGGATTTTTATAATCCGTCTCCGATACCCTTTTCCTGCATCAAGGTGTTGAAGCCACCCATCGAGCACCTGAGTTTGCATTCCTAATGCTTCTTGCCCGCTTGCTTTTGCAGTTCATTTTCCTTAAAATGGAACTAAAGAAACCACAAGAAACTATTTTGGGGTTTTTTGTTTTGGGGGTTGGGGGATTTGGGGCTTTGAGAAGAAACAAACACAGCTTCGTTCCTCAGGGTGGGTGGGTGGGTTTAAACTTTCTTGAATAACAAACTTCTAGCATTACTCTAAATTAATAATTAAAATATAAATAACAGGTTGTTTCTGTTACTTTTGGCTGCGACAAAATATGTCTTGAGAAGCAGCTGTAGGAAGTGTAATTATTTGATACTTGGGTTTCCTTTCCCATTAACAATGTTTTGATGGGGATCGAACAAGTGATACTGATATCTGGAGTAGTTTAGGATTGTCATTTTATATACAAACAGGACTCGAAGTGGATAAAAGCTGAAATTTCTTTAATCTTCACTGTCATGCTTCTTTAAAGCTAAAATTGTGATTGAAGGTTTTCTTATGAATTTGTTGCAGAAAATGGAGCCAACATCTCTGCTTTTAATGGCTCTCAAGATCAAAGAGGTGTAGAATATGGTGTCGATCAATCCAATTATGGCATGGTTGATTCGTCTCAGCACTATTATCCGGTGGGTCCTCTAGCTGTTGAGTTTTCAGATCTTTTCTTTTCTCTCCCTTTCTTTTGCAACTAAGTTCTATGATTGTTAATATTCGGCTTGTTCTTATCACTGCTTAGGAAGCAGCACAGCCACAGGTGCAGCATACTGTTCCTGGTAGCCCTTACGGTGAAAACTATCAGCAGCCTTTTGGTTCTTCATTTGGTAAAGGATACAATACTCCTGTGCAATATCAGGCTCCTGCACAGCCGTCTATGTTTGTTCCATCCGAGCCACCTCACCATCCCCAGGTATCTTTGGTTGATAAATAATCTGCATTGGCATGAGGAGGTAGCTGATGCTACTATATTTGACTTTTCTGATAATTTATTTTACTCCAGGCTCTATTATAGCCTTTGCCTTCTTTACCCAATGGAAAAGAGTGGCAAGAATACCAAAAGCTCAGAATAAAGAGGATAAGTGGTGAATTGTTTGAAAGAGTGATGGTGATCAAATTCGGGCATAATATAGTGGAATATTGTCATTCGCTCTTTCTCTCTTCTACAAAAGAATAGAAAAGTATCTACTTGCTACCTGTGCCCTGTGGAGTATGAGTCAGATAATGTGCTGGCACACTTACTGTAGTTGTGTTTTTCATGTTTGCTTTGCATGCTATGACCTTGATTTCTTGCAAAGGATCTCTGGGTTGACCATTTTTCTCTCTTTCTAGCCAAGTTTTGTTCCAACTCCTGTCACCAATCAGCCCACGACAAGATCTCAATTCATACCAGCACCTCCTCTTGCACTGAGGAACCCAGAGCAGTATCAGCAGCCAACATTGGGTTCTCATTTGTATCCGGTATGTATGTCTCCTTCAGTTCCAATTTTGACCGTAGAAGCTTCTAGTTTGACTGACTCGGTTCTCTCTGGCATGTCTCGTAGGGAACTGTTAATCCTACTTTTCAACCTTTGCCTCATGGGCCTGGTCCGGTTGCCCCTGTGCCACCACAAGCGAGTGTTCCTGGCCAGAAGATGCCGCAAGCTGTGGCTCCTACTCAAATGAGGGGTTTTATGCCAGTTACTAATCCAGGGGTTGTTCAAAATCCTGGGCCAATTTCCATGCAGCCGGCTAGTCCCATTGAATCAGCAGCTGCACAACCAGTTGTCTCACCTGCTGCACCCCCACCTACTGTGCAGACAGCAGATACTTCAAATGTTCCTGGTAAGAGCTAATATGGTTTTGAAAAAATAGCTGCCTTTCTCATTATTTATGGTTTATGAGGGATTTTTTGTTTCCACTTGAAGATAAGTAAAAAGCACTTTTCTGCTTCCTCGCCAAAAGTTATCATCCAAATTTCAGAAGTTATGAAGACTTACATAGGAACATACGCGCCAACATTTATATGTCGTGAAAGTTTCAAATGTTGTGGATTAAAAATACTCAAAGATCGCTCTCCACAAAGGATCGATTAAGAAAAAAGTAAAATGTAAAAGTCAATCCTAACATGCCCGTGTGCTTGCATACTTGGTTGTGCTGTGTTTTTTTTTTCTGTTTTCAGTAAGTAAGACTTGTTTGATTCTGCTTTTAGTAGAAGACTGATGGTTTCTGATGCTCTTATCCTCCCTTCCTGGAAAAATGGTCATGACTATGCCAATAGTACCTGAAAGTTTGAAGAAACTGATAACCTCTTTTGGTGCTTGGAAACCAGGCCTTAATCTTTATTCGGAGATTTCTTTCTATTCCATCATTTGGTTATTCTAGGCAACATGAGATAGTGTATATGGAGTCAATTGCAATAGTAATTAGTGATTCGATCAATTTTGTTTAAATTTTTGTATGAAAATGTTACAACCCATGAAGTAAACAACCACAGACACTGAGCTTTTTATTTGTCTAGAGAGGGGCTAGGCAAACTTGCCTGGTACTTTTTAATTCCGTCTCATATGTACGAGTAACTCTAAGCACTATACGCTAGAGTTAGCATCCTTTGGCTGAATAAGTAGCTAGTGGAGACTGCATGTGGAAATTTTGGTTTTTCCTTAAAATCAACAGGAGTTCAGCTTTCCTTTGTGGTGGCTTGATGGTGTTCCTTTCTGACACTTAACTGAAGAACTCTTTTCTGCATCCATGCACCAGCCCACCAGAAACCTGTCATATCAACATTGACGAGACTGTACAATGAGACATCTGAAGCATTGGGAGGCTCACGCGCAAATCCTGCCAAGAAGCGTGAGATAGAAGATAATTCAAGGAAATTAGGTGCCTTGTTTGCAAAGCTCAACAGTGGAGACATATCTAAAAACGCAGCTGATAAGCTGGTCCAGCTTTGTCAGGCTTTAGACAACGGCGATTTTAGCACTGCTCTGCAAATACAGGTGCATTTCCTGCAAATTAGAGAGTCTAACTACTTTTGCGATTGCACGAGGGAGTAGTGTGTTAAATGATTTTTGTGTCTTTCAATCATTCTTCTCCAGGTACTTCTCACGACTAGCGAGTGGGATGAGTGCAATTTCTGGTTGGCTACGTTGAAGCGGATGATCAAGACGAGGCAGAATGTGAGACTAAGTTGAGAAGAGGCCAATTTTCTCGACGCATCTCCTTTGTTCTTTTTTCTCTCTTTAGCCTTGTGTGGTGGGATTCCGTAGGGGAATTGATCATTTCTTTGGAAAGAATGGCTCTCTTAGATTGCTACTGGAGTAATTTTTGGTCTTTTGTTATAGAATGCCTTTTTTCATTGATGTTAACTGCTGAAAGCCGTTAGGATAGTTTTTAAAGGAGTTGGTGATTATTGATTTCCACCCAATATATGTAGCGTCAAGGAATTAGAGGGCTTTTTACTAGCCTTGGTGGATGTTTTTGACACTATTTTTCGCCATAAGTTACTCTCCCATGCTTGTTTCCCCTGCGATGCCCAACGCTCGTTTGTGTTATGGCAATTGTTTATGAATTATCGGTATCTTTTTGGGTGAATGATAGCATTCAACGAGTGAGAGAGGCTTGTCACTAGAAAACAATTGTCTTGTCGATGTCCGGTTGAAGTGTTTTCACTTTGTTTTTATTTTCTTTTTCCATTATCTAGATAAGGAAAGACAGCAGCAAACATCGTCGCTGAAAAATAATATTACCTTTGAAATAAAGAAATGGGAAGAAAAGCAGAACTGTTGAGAGAAGACTAGGTAGGATGTATTAGATGCTGTTGTTCCAACGAGCCAATCTTCCCTTTCTGTTTTCTGACTCGCCACTGTAATCAAGTCAACATTCTGCGACAACTGAAAAAGATGGAAGTATTGCGAATTATGTGCAAGCTTTGTAATTTTGTATACTGACTAATGACTTCTAAGCTTGGTGGAAAGATGAAGGCACGGTGCTCTGGTATGAGAACCTCTACAGTTTGTGCAGATGTTGGTTCCAGTAGATTCTCAAGTCTCATTCTGCAATCTCATATGTATTGGTGGGCAGTATTGCCCGCTCTCGCTTGTTCAGTGGATTGTGCACGGCATGCAACACGCGACTGAGAAGCGAGCCAGTTTGGGTGAATCATCAAAGCTGATAATGTGATTAATCACTTATACTGTGTCGGTCCTGTAATTGATTCAGAAAGTACATTCTCGTAGCAGAGGAAGTACTTTTTATGAAGTTCATAAAGCATAGAATTCCCTTGTACTTTTAGTTAGCTTTGCAAAGCATATGAACGATTAGTCATCAAGATATTAGGGTGCTCAAACTTCAACCAGTGTGGAAGCAGACAGTTCTTTTTGAATCTCCAAGAGCATGTGAAAGGAGCAAGTAGCAATGTATGCAAAACAATAACCATATACAGCCAGAAGTAGGATAGAATAAGACACTACTCAAAGGTCACACTATTGGTGCTGGTTTACACAAGTTGTGAGGTGAAATTCAAAACCAATGAAGTGGGTGAAGTGACTGGACACCCCACCAGAGCCTAGAAAAACTTACCCACAACTCATTCAATCATCAAAAAAGGCCAACAGCTCGAGGACAAAAAATGCCCTTGAAAGATGAAATATCTTTGACATCTTCCCTTGTTCGGCGAATGCATTGCAATGTACTGTTACGTGTTTGCATAAGCATCCCTACGCTGCAAAAGGAGCGCTTCTTCTCATGATTCTGTTTTTTACTGATATTCCAAAAAGAATCAACCTTTTGATGGGTCCTCCTGAAATATTCTATTTCACACAATTTAGTCCATGGCTTTACGTGTCAAAGAAGTACCTTTTTCCCCATCGAAGCACTCAGAAGGAGAGAGAAGCACCGAGAGATTCTAATAAGAAAAGGGTGTTTTTTTTTTTTCGGAATGATTAATGGTCTGCCTGCACAAATTGGGTGGTCCATTCGAGAAAATGGGTGTTAAGGTCAAAGGTCCATGCATAGATGATGGATCTTAAAAGGGTATGTAAGAAAGGGAGAGGCACATGCTGGTATAAAAATATACTAGCTGTAAAGCCTTGATATAAGGAGAAGATCCACACATACGTTCATCCTTGGTTGCTAACTGCTGATAGCTAAGAGACAGCCTGCCTCTTATTTCTAGGGCTTTGAATATATTAATTTGTCCTCCAATTCCTCTTGTGTTTTTGTTATTGGCTCCACTTATTTGCACGGTTTGGGTACTTTAGGTTTTGGCAGCAACAATGATTTCTTGCCTCCTGGAGTCTCACATGGCTGTTCTTTTTCTAACTTAAACATAGTCCTAAAATTTTGTAAACCGGCCAATAACAGCGAAGATTAATCCGCCTATCTTGCACCAGATTCTTCTTTCACTCTTCCTCTTCTTTTTTCTCCCCTTTTGTTGTTTGTAGAAGTTGAATGTCTATCATCTGTCCTAAAGCTTGAACTTACCGAAGAAAGGAGAGAGGACAAACTCATAGAGGTGGACTAAGTTGGAGATGTGATGGCGTCGCTACTATATTAGGGTTGTTACCAGATAGTTAAGATTAGGTTGCCACCTACGCAATCACCAATGTTTATCATTTGAGGCATAATTGTGCTTGAGTGGTTGACATGACATATGTATATAATGATTTTCTGAAGTCATAATAACCGCCCCAACCAATTCAAACATATCATTCTGGCCAAAAGAAATTCAAACTTTTTTTTTATGATAGATTATGAATGGGTTGTCGACATCTGCAACTTGCAGCTTCTGGTCGATCTACTATGACCACCATGAGCACCTAGGAGATTATTAACACAAGAAGTTACTGCAGAGATGGAGAAACCTGAAAACTAGTTGTTCAAACCGTTCCAAATTAGGAGCCACTGTTTTGTTGATCGGAGAAGAAGGTTTGCTGCTGTATAAGGGTCCCTTAATTCTTTGGAGGGTAATAGATAAAAATTCAGATTGAGTTACTCCTTTCTACAGAAGAAACATATCAACTGTAAAAATGAGATTAAGACAAGATTAAAGGACTACGAAAGTCAGCCTAGCTCTCTTTGTATTAAATAGCAATTTCCTCGTACACAACTTTTGCAGCATTCAGGTATGAAGATTGATAACAAGTACAATTGACATCCCATAGAAGGTGGTGAGACACCAGTGATGTCCCCAACATAATGAGAAAATAAAAGAAAACACATGAACTATTCAATTAGAACTCTCTTTCTTGAGGAAGATCCGACAGGATATCTACATCAATGCAGTTTGCGAGCAAGCTCTAATGACTGAGTTTGTGAACGAGCCGCCGAATCATCTATGCCTGGGAAGTTTTCGGGACTTCCCCCGACTGAACGGTTTCTCTTCATAATGAAGGCAGCATCATCTCTGCGACGGGATTGAGATTGAGTTCTTACCCTGTTCATGTATCTTCCGCTACCGAATCTAGAACTGTACGACTGGTTTGGCAATTTCAATGTGGGCTCAAGTCCCCTAGCCTCCCTTTGAACTTCAGATTCTTCGTCTGTATTAGCAGCCATGAGATCCAACAAGTCACTCCTGAACCCCAAATCCGAGTACACTCTTCGCGAATTTCTCATTGCCGGTTTCGAAAATTTCCCATCCAGAGCATCTAGATACCCCGTGTCCACGTTATCTAATCTAGAAGTATTCTGCACATTCCTGGCTTCGATTGGCTGTCCCATCGTCTCCACCATCCGGCACGGATTGTTAAACCCATTCCACGAATGAAGAGGAACCAATTTGCTCAGCCCGGTCAAATAATCAACAATCTCCTTCATCGCCGGCCTCCTCTCTCTACAAGATCTCACACACTTGGCAGCTATGACAGCTAATTGCTTCCTAGCGACGGGATCTTTCAGGGGCGCGATTCTCGGGTCATAAACACCAAGGAGCTTCCCCTTTTTAATCAAGGGGATTGCCCAGTCCACGATGGACGGCGGAGAGTGCCCGATATCGATGGCCTTCCTCCCACTGATGATCTCCAACAGCAATATGCCAAAGCTAAACACATCGGTCTTAGTACTCAAGTTATCAGGGGTCACATAGAGAGGATCAAGATACCCAATAGTCCCAGCTGGGGGTGTGGACAAGAGCCTAAAATCATTGACATGGCATCTGAGAGCCAACCCAAAATCGCCCAAACGAGCATTGAAGTTCCTATCTATCAACACGTTAGCAGACTTTATGTCTCTGTGGATTATAGGCGGGTTCTGAGAATGAAGGGTCTCGATGGCCTTGGCGATCTGCAGGGCCAGCCTAATCCTGCGACCCCAATTCAAGACGCGCGTGTTGGAATGAAGGATGTCGTAGAGCGTACCGTTGCTCATGAACTCGACGACCAAGAGGCGGTTCTTGGAGTCGCTCGCGAAGCCGACGAGGTTGACCAGCCGGGGGCTCTGGATCGTGGACAGGATCTCGAGCTCGTTGTCGACCTCGGTGGCGATCTCGAGCCCCTTGGAGGGCTTCTTCACGGCCACGTGGCGGCCGCGGAGGAAGGCCTTGTAGACGTAGCCGTGGCTGCCTTTGCCGAGCAGCTTCTGGTCGGAGAAGCCATTGGTGGCCGCCTCGACGTCGCTGTAGTCGAACTGCTGGATCTTGATCGGCTTCTCTCTCTCTTGCCCGGGGGGGCGTTGGTTCTTGGAAGACGGCGGCGGCGGAGCGTGGGGGTTGGAGATGGAAATGGAGGATTCGGCCTTGCAAGAAAGATAACCCATCAAAGAAAAACTGATAAAGATTGGATTTTTTTTGGCTGGTTCAGAACTCGAAAAGCTGGTGGTGAGAGAATTTATGGAGACAAATCTCGTGGGTTCTTGACGTCTTTATGAGGAGAGCTGTAATGGAGTCTCGGAAGAGAGAGAGAGAGAGACTACCAAATGGGAATCCCAAGGACAATCCACCATGAATCCATGGCACGTATTAAGGCGGTAATGTTATTACAACGGTGTACATTTCTCAGTATGCAGACCTGGTATTCTTACCGATAAGTCAACGCCGTACATTTACTGTATCTGTACACCCCTTTCCATCTCATTTTCTGGTCTCTTTCTTCCCTCTTCTTCCTTCCTTCCTCCCCGCCCTGTTTTTTGTCCTTACCTTCACAGTTAACCTCTTTCCTGACCAATTTTTTTCTCTCGCGTTACCAAATTCTTGCGTTTAGATAATGGGAAATAAGCGACGTCGTACGCTTGATAGAGTTCAATCTACACATCTAGGCATTTTCTTATACACATATGAGCCATTGGAATGCATCAAGAGTAGTGGTTTTTGACCATTTGATAACTTTTCACTGTATGACTTGTTGACACCTAAATTTTGACACTCCATTCGGTAATTCATTTGCATAGAAAAATTAAGGATCGACATCGGCCCCTAGATAAAAAAAAATTAGTTAAATTGCGTATAGACATTATGATCATTTGCATCAGTAGTTAGGCTCATATAATTGCATTTGCATTGGACCGGTGATTGACGGA